TAGCTCCAAAAGGATCCAACAACACCAACCTCTTTAGTTCAGTAATTCAACTCAACAAAAAGGTTAATTAAAGTGTTCTACTGATGTCTTATGTAAAGGTAGAGTCAGTGGCATTGTTTGTTGCAGCTTGTGAACACAACATCCCAGAAAACCAAAACATTAAAATGCAGGCAAAGGACAGGCTGTCTGGAGACACAGTCACCACTACAGATGTATGGAGGCCCACTGAAGTGATGATTGAGTTGCATTACTTTTATCTAAAGTCTATATTTTATTTTTCAGGTAAAAGCTACTGTCTTAATAATGTTTAACCGTTGTGGTAAATACATTTCCTCAATGTTAAGTTTTCCAGAATAGAAGAAGAAAATAACATTTTGTAAGACTGGTTGTAGACGCTTCACTCATCACTGTGACCTGTACACTAACTCAGATTGGCCATCTTTGAAGGTGCGCAGGCATATACACTAGCTGAAGCTTATTTTTAAAGCTCTTCTATGAAGGTAGATATGTTGCAAAATAGGAGAGTTTGTAGAATGATCACATTCTACAAGCTCTCCTATTTTGCAACATATCTACCTTCATACCCTTCTTGGTTTGGTGCCTTCTTATCTATGTTCATACCTTCAAAGAACCAGAAGCCACTATGCCTTGTGTTCCTGTGATATCTTTAAAATGTCTGTGCCTCATGTCCGCACTGAGCTCGGGAAAAGACCGTTTAGTTTTGCTGCTCCCACTGCATGGAACTTTCTCCAAAATGACTTGAAAATGGCAGAGCTCTTGAAGCCTTTGGCTCGATCTTAAAAGATAAAAAATGCGAGACAATTGGACAGTGCCTGCGTTTCTGAATTGTTCTCTGACAAGATTCTGCACTTTATCTGTAAATCAATTTGCACATTGTTACAGTTTTTTCCAATTGCTAACACATTAAAATGATATGCATAGCACAATTATTTAAACTGACACACAGAGAGCAAAACCTCTTCTCAAGTCTCCAAAAGTCTAAACACATTTTCTGCAATTCAAAATGGCACTTTTTAAATGCACTGAACACGGTTCTCTGCATAAGACACAACAATCTGACATAAAGTCACAAGTTTGCCATTTCAAAACACTGCCATTCAAAATGACACTACATGAGCTAATTGGCCAATATATGTGCCACCTGGCCAAACACCTCAGTGGTTAACTGTTATCACTTCAATCAGGAAGTTAGAACTATGAAAAGACCACAGGTGAGCACCTTTTTACAACAATGGAAGACGTTGAAGAGAGGGGAAGAGGGAGGGTGAGAATGAGAGGGGGAGGAAGAGTGAGAGGTAGGGGTAGAGCTGGTAGAGGAGTTCATGGCCAAAGAAGAAAACAACTTTCAAATGAAATCAGAGCAACCTTAGTTGATCGTGTCATCAACCATGGGCTGACAATGCGAGAGGCTGGACAGAGAGTGCAGCCCAACTTGAGCCGTTTTACTGTACTGGTATATGTAGCACTGACTTGTTTTGTGAAAAATAAAAAAATAAATGTTTCAACAGCATGTGTGTGTATCTGCAAATATTTCGTTTGTATTGTTTGTAAACTGTCTCTTTATCATGTAATGCTTTTTATGACGTGTGCTGCTGCCCTCTTGGCCAGGTCACCAGGTTGTGAAAGAGATCCTGATCTCAATGGGTTATTTATCGGGTTAAATAAAGGTTCAATAAAAATAAAAGTACATGTTTATTTGTGTGGGCATTTTGACAACGGGATTAAAGGTGAATGACTCATTAGAGACCGTCAGAAGAGGCAATTGGAGGAACAGCAGTTTTTAAAACTTCCACAATGTCTTTTCTTTTTTCTTACTTTTTATGTTGTTGTTTGTTGGCAAAAGTAAGTCAGGGGGAATGGTTTATATTTCATGAATTAAATGACCTACAGGACATTGCATTAGGTAATTATTTAGTCATCATTTATTGTACATTAACATTTAAGGATATAGCCTTGAACTTTACCTCAACCTGTGCACTTCCTTCCCAGAGTAAAGGGAATACAGCAGAGTAGGAGCCATTAAGGTGATCCACCACTCGTCCAGCCACACCTGCTTCAAGTGCCCTGTTGTGCAAACGGGCAACAATTGCATCTCCTCCAGACTTCTTGGGGTTACCTTGGAAGTCGTACATTTTTATCATAACTTCCAGCTGGTCTCCTACATGCCGTTCATCTCCAACCCCCCCTGGGAGAATGATGAAGGTGCTGTGGGCGGCGTTACTTGTCTGATTCAATGAAAAAGGAGCTGGCAGAGGAGGAGTTTCAGGCCAAGCAATGGAGTCCAATATGAGACGTTCCTCCTCAGCTTCTGCAGAAGACAGTGGCTTGAAGGTGCAGAAGTTGTCAGGCACTGGAGAAGCAGTGGGAGGAGCAGTGTGGGGAGCAGTGTGGGGAGCAGTGGGAGGAGCAGTGTGGGGAGCAGTGGGCTGAGTAGAAGTCACTTTCTTGTTGATGATGGCAGAGTTTTCTTTATAATTTTGCTGGCAAGGAGTTGAAAAAGAAGGATGGTGACAAAGATGCATTGAACAAATTTACTAAAATAAAATAAACAAAAAAAAAGATGGAATATTTGTCCAAATAAATTTGTATTATTAATAACTGTTTATTTTTAAAACTTTAATCTGCCGGAAGTCACTTGGGAATTATTCTTAACTTGACCAGTTACATTTTTATGTAAATGACAATAGTCATTTACATTTCTTGATCTTACAGCATGCTCTCCCCTTATGAACATTTAATTTACAAATGTTCTCTTATTTACTCTTTTTAATGATGAAATTGTGTTTTAATTTTTTCCAATTATATATTTTCTACTTTTCCCTCTCAAAGTTAGGTGTTTCTGTATCTGGCGCACTATTAATTTAATTGCGGATTATAGACATTTTATAAGACCAGGCCGATACACTGAGGGCCACTCTATAAAATACTGAAGTAATATCCACTGCAATGATCTCAACATGGGAAAGAATTGGGACAGAATTGCTCGGGATCTAATATGATGATGTCAGGGGACAAGAAAACAAAGGATCCTTTCTTCTGCCCCTTCATCAACTCCATTTGCCATTGTATGAGTAATTGCACTGCTAGATAACTGTCAGTCTGAGTGAGACAACAACTAGCAAGATGTGTGAGTCACTTGAGACAACAGAGTGTCACTGTGTGAATTATGTGATTCTGCACATCTTTCTATCAAACCAGGAGTGTACAGGAAAGGCACAATATGTCACATTTTATTACGCTCTTTACACTAAAATATCTAAATTAATGAAACATTGACTAAGCTTGTGTTGTAATAACTTTATTTCTATAGTTATGGACTAAGCCTATATGTTATATATTTGTCACATCTACAATCTAACAACACCCACTGCCCCCCTACACTTAGTCCGATCACTGTCCACTTATATCTCTATTCTACAGCATCTATTTTGTATTTTAACTTTAGTATTTAATTTGGTATTTTATATTTTTTGTTCAGTTTTTTTTAGCCTTCTTTGCACTGTCGTTATGCTCCTGCTCTGGGTGCCTTTGAATTGCCCCCAGGGGAAAAATAAAGTTTCTTGAAATTAATAGAATTGAATTTATCCTGCTTCATGGAATACCCATCTGGTCCTCACAGTTATGACATTATTACCCTCCTGATGTCACTTGTTGATGAATAGCCTACCCGTCTCCTCAATACAAACTCTTTTAATCAGGACTTTAGCTTTCGTAGCGTAGAGCAGGGTGTTCCTAAACATTTCAGCTTGGGACCCTCAAAATAACTGTGCTGGAGACTGGGGCGCCCCACTGTCCATATTTTAGTAATTCATTGTAAGGCTAGAAGCAGAACCCAAGTAATCTCCATGTATAAATATAACGGGCCCATATTATGCCCTTTTTGGGGTTCGTATATTTAATCTATGTACCTATGTTCACAATAGCTAAAGTTCGAAAAAAGTGTCTGTTTTCATGTACTGCCACTCCATGTACCGGCTCGCTTCTGACTCTCTCTCCAAGGCTCTGAAGTTCCCACGTTCAGAGCCACAACCTTTGCCACGAAGGCATGAGCATGATGTTTCAGTGTTGTAGGTATTTATTTTGCAGCCTTTTCAGATGTAGTGTGTGTAATATATGCTAATCGGTAGCTAACGCAATAGCTTCATTGCATTGTTTATGTATATGCTGTGTTTATGTATAAAGTGTGGAAACTGCAGCTAAATGCTTACCGAAGCAAACACCGTATGCTGCAGAATACCATGATAACTTACAACAAGAACATAGCAACAGTAACACACACCTTATGTTTGTATCAAGTCTCTTAATCAGAAAAACTCTCACTGTTATTGTGTTGAAAAATACGTTAGCCTCTTCCAATTTAACTGACTGGAGCTACCAGCATATTTCCCTAATCCAAAAATATATATCTTACTCGTGGCTTTACAAAGTTTGGCTTCATTACAATATGATTATTGGCCACAAATGTGTTCTGTACAATACATTTTTTTATTGTATTTACATTAGTAGTGTATGTTGTTTATTGCAGCGACTCACCTTGTTCTGCATTATAAATCACCTCCTTGATGTGATTAAAAATTCAATGAGCAATTGTAAGTATCAATGACATCATAGACTTACTTACTTTGACTACAAAAGCCCAGGTGATAATAACGTGTTTGTTGGATCAATATCTCATGCAATAATGTTTCCTCCTCTGTCACTATTTTCCTTCTTATTGAACATTATTTCATATTAATCAGTATCTTCCTCTTTAATCAGGAGAATGAATCCGCTGCCTATTCCTTGTACCAAAAACATCCAGGACTGTTTAAACACATATACAATTCAAAACATCCACAACATCTTCAGAGGAGAACATCACGGAGAACTGCAGAAGAGTATGTTCATTATAAATAATGATTTACATCTTCAATCAAATTCATTCTAATCAAACAGTTTCACTATTTCAGAGGAATAAAAGTAAACAAGTGAGAAAATCATTTGTTGACAGTTCTTTATTCTCAGCTAAGGTTAAAAAACCATTTAAATGTGTAGAACTATAGGTGTAAATATACAATGAGAAGTCACATTTTTACATCCAACTATATTGTCTCCATACAGGCTGTGCAGACACTTGGCAGCTCATCGCAGCTTTGTGAGGTGGTGCTGGAGATTCTTTGGACACTGCAGAGTGGTTATCCTGTCGTGTGTCGTCCTGAGGATTCACACTCATTTTTCACACTCATCTGTTTTTTGGAAATGTTTACAAAGACTTTGAAGGTATATTTAAATAGGTATTTATCACTTTAAAGGTTTAAAAATAGATTGTGCTTTTGGGTTTAAAAAATAAAATAATTTGTAACTCACTGCATGTTGTGTCTGTTTTTTTTTTGGATTTGAGGAATGCCACCTTATAGACCAGCTGTCCTGTAGAGGTTGTTGCTTTATTCAACCCAGTCTCATGTCAAAATGTGTAATACCTACGTTGGTCCACAGCGCAAAACGTAGTAGTTTCACAATAAGGGCTCTAAAATTGTGACATGCCTAAGTTTCCTTTTGTCTATTCTTTTGTATAGGCATACCTCAGGTCACGTGACTGCCCAGTTTTTCCCTGGCGAAAAAAAACAAAACATGGCGGACATCCCTTCTATTTTCGGCGGAAAATGCAATATTTTAAGATAGTTTGAGGGCTAAAGTGTCATTTTGATAACCTTTCTGGCGACAAATGTACATTGTATCTTCATAATCTTTGTTCGGTTTATGTTTATGATCTTTAGTTTGTTTGTTTCTACGAAGATTCTTTCAGGTCTCGCTCAGAAAAACGTTGGGATGTTACGTTTTCTACTGTTGCTATGGTGGTAGCTATGGACGCTATCAACAACAAACCAGAAGGAAGTGGACGTTTGGTTCTCTGAAAACAGGTTACATCAGACCCTAGACATCAAACTAAACTCCTATGCAATAAATAATGATTTGTTACATTTTTATGGATTTTTTAATTTCAACCAAATTTAATAAAACGATTGGAACAGATCGATGCATATTAGCAACATTATAAACTATAACATGTAACAATACATAAAGACAATGCTGTACAGTTTGTGTGATTTATATGATTCAATAATTTTATTTAACAAAATAATCCTGACGGATTAGATTAATACCAGAAAATGCAATCAATAAAGTAAATGGCTGGTGATAAGAACTACAAACGGGCGCATGACACTGACATCAAATAATTACGTATTGATAATCGTCACTTGTGAGCGACCTCTTTATTAGATCTTTCAGGGGATATTTACTTTAGTTTTTTAAGGTTGGTTGCAAAATCACATCTTAAATCTGTGTTAACCAAAGATCCCATTCCAGGAATCTAAGCAAAAACCCATTCAAAAAGCCCATTATGCTATGGTCTGCCAGTGAGCTGCTGACATGCGCAATCGTGCAGTCACACCCACTGTCGATTTAGAGGCCGAGGACACGCACCTGGTAACTTTTAGTTACCGTATTTTCCGCACTATAAGGCGCACTTAAAAGCCTTTAATTTTCTTAAAAAAACGACAGTGCGCCTTATAATCCGGAGCGCCTTATATATGGATCAATTGGTTAATTGGTTGATCCATACTGGTTGTACACGGCGCTCAGCGACACTGACTCGGATAATGACGAGAGGGAGCCGGGCATGTTGGATGCCGTACTCGCAAAACTGTTCAATTCGGACACTGAAGAAGAAGAATTCGAGGGATTCGCGGACGGGGAATGAACTGAAAAAGTGAGCTTTACGTGTTATGCGTAACTGAACAATGTTGAGTTATGCACTAACGTTTGAATTAGCGGTATCAGACTGTGTTTCTTTTACGTGTTTACAACTGAACAAGGCTGGGAGATATTGTGAATATGCACATTAACGTTTGAACATCGTTACCATGGGAGTGAACGGAGTGACGCTTAATAAAGTTTGACTTTATCTGACTGTTTTGTTGACATTCCCTTTAGCACAGCTCCATACAGTGGATGCATAACGCAACCCCAGTCAAACATTTGACTGCAGTATCTTCTATTCTATGCGCCTTATAATCCGGTGCGCCCTATATATGAAAACAGTTCTAAAATAGGCCATTCATTGAAGGTGCGCTTTATAATCCGGTGCGCCTTATAGTGCGGAAAATACGGTAACTATCGATTCAACGCCCCCCGCCCCCCCTCTCCCTCCTCTCTGTGGACTCAAATCTTAAATCCCTTTTTCATACACTTATGTTTGACCTAGAACCCCCAGATTTTCACCAGTTGTTCGTGAGATTGGGAACTATCACCAAAACAAAACTCAACTCAACTTCCTAGGTCTCTTTTTGTGAGCCTACAAGTCACTTAAGGCCCCATTTTCAATTTGCCAAACCTTTCACAATTGAAACACTTTTATCAAAACATCAAAAAAGGGTGTTAAAAAGTGTGAAAATGTTCCAAAAGAGGGTAGACAGAGGGTCATTCTCCACTATATGCTGTATGCTTTGTGAACAAGACTGATGTTAAAAACTCATTTAAAAGAGCTAATTTGACCATTTGAGGCCTAGCAGAGACATGAAGCCTTTTGACCTGTTCAACCCTGTTGCTCTTTGGCTCTCATAACAAGCACATGGGATGTTTCAAAGATATAAAAGACAAAAAACTGAATATTAAAACAATTACTGATGACAAATTAGATTAACTCTTCTATAAGGAAAGAAGGATAAAAAAACTACTAGGATGAATTAATATGGACAAGTGCATAAGAGATTTTTACTTTTAGCCATAATTCTAAACCAAGCACTTAAGGCTGTCCTCCAAGCCTATAGTTCCCCAGATTTTATGATATACTTACACCAAAACAAACAAACAAAATAAAAAAAACAACATTTTATGTACTGGGCTTTGAAAGAGCTCAATGAAAGTATGACTGCAAGACCCCTATGAAATGAGAATATTTAAGTTTTTGGCTTAGAGCTGAATGACATACATCGTTGGAAAGGTCTCATCCTGGAGAGTAACATATGTGAAGATGAGGTTTCAACATGACCCCTGTTTTGAAATAATGCCCTTTGAACCTTGACCCAAAGGCATGTTTGAAGGCTTATACCTCAGAACAAAAGGGGCTACAGACATGGGAATAACTGTTTTAGAGAGGTCTTGGAACAAAGTGTGAGGGTAGTCAGCTCACCAAAACAACAGGGGGAGCTGCTATATATGATTATGATACATTTTAACAAATGTATCAATTATTTTTAAAATATCTGATAACATAAATGTGTTAACCATCCAATTAAACTCCCCTGTGTACCCTCAATTAAATATATATAACTTCTTGGTTAAGGGAAACACTGAGATTTGTCTAAAAGACTACAATTACTCAGAGTCAAGTCACACAGCTTGATACTGAATGGCGCCATAATTGCAGTCTTTTCCGTTTCCAAAAAAAGGTTGTAACTAGGATTATAAAAGGCTTACAAAAGTTATATTCACTGAATATGTCACGGATCTCGTGTGGCCGAAGTATTTATTGCATAGTACATATATGATCTATGTTAAAATAAAGTACATATATCAGTTCATTTCAGATATTTTGACTGTTATTCTAGAAATGGGAATTTTGGTAGTTATGTCTGGCGTTGTGCACAGAGGGAACATAATTAGGGTTGTAAAGAATGTATATCTACCTACTATATCAAATATTTACTAAAGCCGAATGGGTTTTGTAAAATAATCTAGACTATATATATTGTAAAAAAGTGGTCAAATCAAACCTGTTTTAAAAGATAGTATTAATCCATGTTTTTTTTTTCGCCAGGGAAAAACTGAGCTGTCACATGACCTGAGGTATGCCTAAACAAAAGAATAGGCAAAAGGAAACGTAGGCATGTCACAATTTTAGAACCCTTATTGTGAAACTACTATGTTTTGCGCTGTGGACCAACATAGGTATTACACATTTTGACATGAGACTGGGTTGGCTTTATTACATTCAGCATGTCCGCTGTTATGCATCACAGACAGCACAAGCTACAATACAAAAAGCTAAAATCAGCAATCATGTAATGAAATCACAGTTTTCTGATATTCTTGCTTAGATTTCAGCAGTTGGACAATTTTTTAGGTGTGTGTGCATACCTTTGCTTGTCCCTTAGTGTACCCCAGGCCAACTGTGTGTGGACTGATGACCCCTTTGGAGGTAGGTATGTCTGTGTGGCCTCTGAGACTTGTGGGGAGTCTGTCTGCCACCCAACCTCGTCATGGAACCTTGGTACACTCGTTGCGATACTGGAGCTTGTTGTCTGTGTAATCTGCTGTGATGTACTCTGAAAAAAGAGACAGAAAAATAGCAAATTTAGCATGGCTATCTAACATGATTCAGAAATGCACTGTCTTCTTGTTCATAGCTAAATATTTAGACCACACATCTTTACGTTTTTCGTGTTATTGAATAGCCTATATACATATATTTGGGTTAACCCGTTCTTTTGCAGTCAGTGCTATGATTGACCACCTGAACACTGGCCGATCTGTTTAGATCAATTATCAATAGCAATGGTCTGGCTTACTACATCGATAAAAAATCACCACGTAACAACGCAGTTTTACGCAGAGGTGGATAAGAGAGTTGAAAGAGGATAACAACAGCTGCGTTAGCCGGAAAGTTAGCAGAGTCTTATAAAGCTCAGAGGCTGTAACAAAGAGGATTTTACATTCATTAGACCGTCTCGAACCACGGTCATAAACCCAAACTTTAGCATCGCTTCTCTACCCAAAAAACAAATGCAAAGTAACAAAACCGTTTTATGCAGAAGTGGAGACACAGCAGAGAGAGGCTGACCACAACAATGTCAGCCGTTTGCAGTGTCCAGTAATGCTCTGAGTCCGTAAAAAGCTGATCTGGACCCACAAAACACTACTTACATGTCTGAGGGTGGTTAACACTGCTATACCTGTTACCGCTTTAGGTGAAAGTTGATAAATAGTTTAGTACTGCTCTAATTTAGAAAAATAGCATTACTTAGCATGTTAGCTGAGGCTTACAGTTCAGCTACAGACAGCCTTCACAGAACTAATGTATCCATAGCAGCTCAAAAGTTGTTTTCAAACAAATGAAAAAGACAATTAATAAAGCGTACTTACATGTTGTAGTTGTGAACTTCCAGAAGCATCAGAATCTCCACAGCTGCCACAGAGAGTAGGAGCTGAAACTTCTTTCCAAGTCCGTTTTTTTGCACAAGCTAACGTGCATTAGCACCTTAGCACTACTGTGCTACCAGGGCTGTGGCATATCGTGGGCGTGCCACAGAAGTTAATGGGCGTGCAACATGAGCTGCTAGGCTTGCCACAATGAGCCAATGGGCTTAGATCAGTGATATCACACTGACAAGACGTATCACCAATTTGTTTTCGAGGAGGGGCTAGAACCGAGCGTTACATGCAGCTAATGCTGCAGCTAACAGGAGGACATAGGAGAAGCCGCGTTTACGCGGACTTTGAATTTTTGCAAATAGATGTGCCTAAACATGCACAGGACACTTGGAAAACACACTAAAGAGCATATAAAACCAGAAAAAGCGTAATATGACCCCTTTAAGGACTGAGTGGACATACAAAATGTAATAATCAAGCAGACAGCTGATATCTGTGTGTTTTTATTTGTAGGGAGTAGATGAACACCTTCATTGTTGCACTTCTGAACAAACTTACATTTAATGGATTTCTTTACATATCACTTTCATTTCAGCATAAATCTTACTTAACAACTATTGTTGTATTTTAAATTCAACTACTTTTTGTATGTATTTTCACAATAATGGGTAAAATATGCATTTTGCAAATTATAAAACTTTTATTTGTTTATGGAAAGCATCTCGCAACACCCCTTTCAGTGTCTCAGGAGCCCCCAGGGGGGCCCATTCCCCACTTTAGTACATTGAAAGACACTCAATGACCACCTTTAAAGTGTTACCAATAATCCCAGTTCTCACCTGCAGCAGGTCCATGTTTCTTAGGACAAAGAACAACACAGTCAGAAGAAGAAGGATGACACAGGTCTTCACAAGTTTCATGTTGACATGGTTACTTATAAAACCTTTTAGCCACATGGTGAGTCCCCTGGTACTGGATTAAAACAACAAAAAGGGGAAACAGACTCTGTGTTAAGTTTATCATATGAATTCTTCTGGAAGTCACTTAACTCAGTCATAAAAACCTCTGAATGTTTATAGTGTGTCAGCTTTCAAACTAATCTTGTCAATCGAGAATGCGATAATTATATGTTACCAAACAGGGAGTGTACAACAAAACAACTTTTTGGTGCTAGAGGTTTGACAGGAACATAATTACAATGTTTATATTGATGATCAAATTCTCACAATCAGGTGTGCCAAGGTTACATGGTCTTATGAAATGTACTGAAGTCACTTGAGGACAAAAGGTTGACTTAAGGTAGGGTTAGTTTACCTGCAGGCACGCAGTAATGGAGGCACGAAGGAAACATGTACATTTAGTCTAATCAATCAATCAATCAATTTTTATTTCTATAACCTCAACTATTATTGTTATCTCAACACACTTTACAAAAAGCAGGTAAAAGACCTTAATACCTAACTAGAGATTGTTTTTAAGTAGACATTTTAACTGGTACTATTTTGTTACTTTATATTTTAACACATTTACATTTCAGATTCTAATTCTATTCCATTTATTCCTCAATGTTTTTCTTCAGTTTCACTTGTTACTTTGTAGATTAAAAAAATCAATGATTCTAAAAATCATGATGTATAATTTTAGACAACATTAAATTAAGCTCATCAACTCTGTGTCTCACAGCTTCAGCATATATGATACCATGTCTACAGTAATTTAATTGAAACTGTTCAAATAGCTCATGCTTACCGAATGACGACACTTATTTTGGGGCATTTAAATATATTTTGATGGCACTGTACTACCTCTAAATGGAGGACTATTTTAAACTAGATTTATCAAACTGAACATGTGCTTTTTAACTGATGGGATCATAGATTGATAAAGTATGATATATGACATGGGGTTTTATATCAGAGCTTGAACTCAAACAGTGAAGAGTATTTCCTATCCCTAAAGTATCCAGTAACAAAACGAGTAAATGTGATACAGGGGTTCAATTAAAAACAAAAATCAGAAGCAAGAAGCTTAAAGCATGCAGCATGAAAGAGGAACAGGAAGTGTTAAAAAATACCTTCAAAGTAGACACTAATGGAAACATGTTGTTTTCTCAGTGTCTATAAAATTAAACATAAGTTTCACCCAGACAAAATAAAGAATATTACGGCTTACCTCAGAAGAGATTAATTTGGAGTGAACACAGTGGTGAAATATCTGTGATGTGACGGAAATCCAAATTAAAAAAAGTAATCCTTTTACTCAGAAAACAAGACAACCTGTCATAACAAGAAGCGTCAAAAAAGTGATAAAGAAGCTTCATAAAGTCATCAAGGTTAGAAGTTCTATTATCAAGACGAATGATGCCCTTCATAAGAATGTTGCCTCCCTCCATTTAACAGTGGGTTACGTATCCAGTAATTATTAAAAACGGCAGCTGAACAACTGAACAGATGAAAACCAGTTTGACAGTAACTGAAGTATGGGCCTGAAGTATGGGCCTGAAGCATAAACTCTGCAAAAACAACGCATCTCCATTGAGTGCTGAAATATGTCAAGGTGGCGGAGACACCCATATGGAAAAGAAATAAAAATGTTTTACTAAATGTTTATATCTTTTATCTGAAACTTAATACACGCATGACAGGGATGGGCAATATTTCTGGTTTTCATGATTTCATGGCAGATTTTGTCATCTTTTCTTCATGTTTCCAATTAATTGATATGTAAAAATTGACCTGAGGGCCTCATTGAGGGTTGATGGGGGCCACCAGTTGCCCACCCCTGTGCATGACAGTCAAACCACGTGAAAGATCCAGAATCCATTTTTTTCATATGAAATGTATATAACCTTTTTGAATCCTTCTGTGATCATCAACATCAGAGAATGATCTTGTTTCGTAACTTGCATACCTACAACATGTGCTTTATATTTCACAATCTGAAAACTCTGGCCAGAGCACTATTAAATCAGATCATATGTCATTGTTGAATTTTAGTTACAATATATTAATCACATCAGCACAAAACAAACAGTAGCCTTTATTTAAGATTGATCATCATTACTACTTACAACATACATGATGCTCTATAATCCCTCAGCTATAAACAGACACCTCCTTACACAACATGATGAAAGCAGATAAAGGTTGAGAATGACATGTTAAGAACATCCTGAACCACAGGAATGTGGTCTCTCAACATGGTTCGTTTGAATGTAGTGAAAGGTGAGACTGTTTAGAGCGGTGCTCGTTCATTGTTCAGGTGAAGCTATACGTGTTCTTCTATGAGGGGTTAAAGTTATACTGGGGAGATGACTGTATCACAGTCATTTGAAACAGCTGTAATTTAATCTCATCAATTTAAACACATTGAACACATCCCTATCTCGACTGCACAAAGACTCAGCCACTCTGCTGCTTCTCTTTTTTATACCCAATCATGATACTCACCTTTTTCCTGTTAACCTTATTAACTGTGAGATGTTCCATTAGCTGTTATTGAAAGACTTTCTCAACTCTTTGTCCCCTTGTTGCAACTTTCAAAACTTTTTTTAAACATGCTTTCAGCCTCAAATTTAAAATAGGAGTCCATTTTTCAAACATTGATAGAATTTCTCAGATTCAACATTTGATATGTTGTCTTTATGCAATTTTTTAATCAGATATGGTGTTTCAACCTTTAAAAAAAATTATCATCACCTATTTTTATTTTCATTTTACACAGCATCCCAACTTTTAGGAATCAGGGTTGTAATAATTAACAGCATGAATACTCGACTTGAAAGGTTATCTGCATGATTCACAACCTTGCAATGCCATTTGTTCTGCATTATGAACCATTATGAGGCACCCAGAAAGTCTTTTCTGAAGATCAGATGAACGTTAAAAAAAGTCATCATACTTCCCTGATATCATCAGGTCCCGGTAGTAAAGTAATCCAACAGGATTAAAGCTATGGATAGGATCAAATCTTGAAATCAGGTTGTTTAAAAAAAGAAAAGGAAAACATAATCAGATAAAACCAATCCAATCCTGTTTTGTTCACTGGTAAAACCTTCAGTTTTTGTTGTCTAAGCTTTTGACTAGGATTTCTTTAATCCAAAAACTCAGGATTATGGTGATACCAGCAGAGTGCTGGATTCAGGCTGGATTACAAGAAAATGTCAACTATGACATTACATATCAAATGTGTTGCAGCCATAGACTGTAAATATTACTGGACGAACCCTGAGTGACGTCACCCGTCTGTTACGGAGGCATCAAATGAGTCTAATCGACGGGCGCATCCATATTGGATATGCTGTCTCAGTGGGGTCTCAACCTAACTTCGGATCAACCTAGCAACAGCATTAAGCCGGGACCGGGCGGGACTTAACTCTGCCCATTCAGCTCGACGTTCCATTTCACATCAAAGCTAATGGCTAGGCTGCTATCATCCCCTACGGCTTTCCTGCTCGTCCAGAGTTATCTCTATAAACAGTAAGTTAACATTTAACTTTTCTACAACACAGTTAAAATGAATTATATTCAACCCAAATATTTAATTAAAGTCACTTTTTTAAATATATAATTATGGTTATTAGTTATTTGTCAGAGCAGTTACTAGACTTTGTCAGTGTTAGCAGAGCAATACATTAGCAAAGTTTTATCATAAAATGTAAGAAACATTTTGAGGCTAATCTTTACATTTAAATTCTCACATTGTGTTACAAATCATTACTTGGGTGTAAGAACATGTTTAAGGGTAAGAACTCTGTTTTAAACGATAAAAGACGAGAGCTTTGGTGTCTTTTTTTGTTTCGTTGTTGTTGATGAAACTACTGTTAGACCATAGACTGTAAATAAATATGAGACATCCAGAAGAAATCAATATTACAAAGCATACAGTTCATGTTACTGTTCTGACAAAAAGAGGAATGTCTGTGTCTTATATTTACCGATGTCAACAGCGATGAGGTGAACATGACAATTGAAAAATAATTATTTAGTATTTATTATAAGACATTTGTTTTCTATAGAACCCTGTGAAGTCATGGAGTCTGTGGACAGTGTCAGCTTCACACCAAAAACTTTAAGTATTAGAAAAAAAATAGTGTTTAAGACTGGCATCTATTATTATGAGTTGCAGCTACCTTGTTCAATATTATTCCTGCAGATGTGGCTAATAACAAAAACACACCCTGAGCTGTCACATGTAGTTAACTGTACATTTTGTCTTGTCTGAGGCATTAATTGAACACCTTCGTATTTCTCCTATAGACAGTGTGGATTATTGGTGACTTGTCCGTCGAGGTGCCCAGAGAGCTGCAGAGACAGAGGAAGAAACCTGAGCCTCAACAACATCTGCATTTGTTGGTTCTTCTGGGGTGGACTTCGGTTGCTTCTCTTCAACAACTCGCTGCGAGGGAGGTCTCCCCCGGATGGCCTGAGTGATGACACCCACATGTTCCTGCATCGATGGCGGTCTCCATGCTTGAAATGCTGTCTCACCCTTACCTTCATTCAACCTAGCGACAGGCTGAGAGCTGGAGCTGAGGCGGGTTTTAAGCATCCTGACAAACCGTTACACCGCGCCTGCCTGTCGATAATGTCAGCTACACGCCTTATTGTGAATAACTCTTACCCTTCATCAAATCAAAACTGGTGAGTCATCAAAACATTCACCCCCAGTACAGTGTGTGTCGATAGAGACATGAGCTATCAGACCTATTTGTTTTTTTGTACCAGGTACATCTCTGTTGTAAAAACAGACTTTTTTTGAATGTAGTTTTTCCGATTAAATAAATATTTCTATATAAATGCACTCCTTTGTCTCTACTTATGAGTATACATTTTAGATTTGAAATGACAAGACTTAAATTGTGCATTATTGCTCAACTCAATAGCTAAGAGAAGGAAGTCTACTTTTACACAACTTTGTCTTCTATTGACATTTTTTTTTACCAAATACTAATTCAGTTCATTTCTGAAAATGAGATGGAACAGAGTCATTGCAGCGCGCTCGCTACACTGGAATTGTTCACTCGCACACAGATTTTAGCGCAGGTTTTCTCTACTAAAACACACGTTTGGTAAAACGGTTTTAAAACCATCAGATCCCGACAAAAGCCGATCTTAAATCAGCATTCAAAGAGAAAAAAATCACCGGAAAAGTTGAGAGTGACAGCAGGGCATGACGAAAACAGAAGGGAGAAAGTTTCAGCCACAGTGACAGACAGCTGGAGGAGCTGGAACATGTTAAGGTAAAGACTAGATCCTGGTAAAGATAAAAGTTATTCACAAAGCATCTTAGGAACCCTTAAGAGAGCTCCTAAAGTAAAGATCTAAGGATGAAGAGTTTCTCACAGAGAAGAAAGAAGGAGAGATTCCAGCTCTATCACAGCCTCATATTAATATCAGATTAAGTATCTTACAGTTACCAGCATGATGAATAAACATGAGCACATAAATATAAGAAAAATACACAATATTTTTATAACTAGAGCTCAATTACTTAAATAAAAGTTGTAATTGACTTTTGCATTAGAATGGTTCAAGAGTAAATTGCAGAATCTGCAGAATGACTTGCTTTTTAAAGTGAGGAGTCTCTTCGGTACTTAGTAGAGACCTTCCTTTATGTACGCTTAATTTTTGATAATTAAAACTCCCACGGCAACGTGACACTGCGACCTAACCAACCACGTGAAGCAGCCACGCCTTCAGCCGTGCTTAAAGAGCCGCAACGTCAACCAACCCCCAAGCCGCAGAGATAGGCTGGCATGATGGAGCGGAGGTGAGCTGATATTGGGGGACAAGTCTGGAAAATAAGCACTTGAATACAAAAAAAGTGGGTGGAGTTAAGATTGCCGTAGGTAGAGGAAAGATAGTTTCCGTCACACACCTCCAAGCCATGCGTTATGATAACTGTGACCTCCGCTTGTAAAGAGAATGCTCGAGCATGAAGCAGCGGCTGGTCCATCGGATCAACACAGGTATGAAGATCCAGGCGGGGGGGCGAGCACATGGGGTGCGGCGGAGTCGGAGAAGGTCAGGAGAGCCTGTGTGCGGGTCTGTCCGGGAAGTCTGCGCAGTCCTCGCCACGCTATCGCGACGCGTCTCTCCTCCGGATCCGCAGGTAAAGGCATTCTGCAGTGTATGATACTAAAAAAGAAAAAAAAAACATCTGTCAGAGGATACTATGATATGTCATCATGTGTTGCTAATTTCTCCTATTATCCAAAATGGAAGAAAAAGTACATTAAAGTATGACTGTGATGATTTTGGTGATCATAAGTGGTTTGGATGTAAAGAGTTTACCTGATGTCTGCTTCCGTCATAGACCGTGAGCCCAGCAGTGGCAGCTACAATGTCTCTTCAGGAACCTTCTACAGCTGCGTCAGTCAGATCACCATCGGTAAGTGCACTTCGGGGAGGAAAAAAGTTAGCATGAAAGGAAAATCTTTGTACATTTTGCTATTGACTTATATTTAAACTGTAATCTGTATCCGAAAGTTAAAGCATATGTAGAGTGATGTTATTTTGAATCTATTGATGCAGTTGAGTCTGTTTTATAATTGTCATAGAAAATATGTAAGCTACTTTTTTCTAGCTCAATATGGTTAATGGACTTGAGCTTATATAGCGCTTTTCTAGTCTTCTGACTAAGCACTTTTACACCGCATGTCACACCTACACATTCACATCCATTCACACACTGATGGCAGTGGTTGCTAGGCTAGGTTGCAACTCTAAGGGGGAATTCAGTTTGGTGCGCTTTGGCGCCCATCCAAGGTTGCTGAGTGCAACTGCACTGTAGAGAACTTTCGTTACTTTAAGGCTGAAAGCTGCTCTGTGAACTAGTGCTGTAAAGCTGTATGCACTTTTCACCAGAACCTTGGACCGCTGCCAAAGTTACATTGTGCTGAAAGCAGGTCACCCAGGCTCCTTTTGGAAATCTGGCCGCCGGGACCGCCATTAGCCGCAGCAGCCGAGAAACAAAACCAGCCTGTCAGCAGCAACTGTCTCCCGGCTATATTGCTGGCCGCTGCTGCCAGCTCAGCAGCCGAGACATAAGGCCTGCCTGTCAGCGGCAGTGAGGACGAGGAGCCGGGGGCCGGCTCGAGCTGGGACGAACTGGTAGTGTCGGTGCTCTTACTGTTTTGCCTATGGACACAGACATAGAGTCTGTTTTCTGCCAGGAATTTCCAAGATGCCAATTCCTTCTGGAAGAAATCTCGGAATCAGTTGAGGAAATGGCCTTATGTGTTGAAGTAAATATGTCTGAAAACCTGACCTTAGTGGGAGTGGCCTGCCCTTTCACATTTCTACTACATATGACCCAATGTCAATACAGATTCATGTTTCAGCAACCAGCCCACAGCGGGACCAGGTGACTGACCCAGATACAGCTTTAACATGTTTATATGGCACAGTCTCGTCTTTCTGCTGCCTTTCTGTGACTCTATTAATCTTAGCCAGCTGGTCAACCTACCTACAAGGCCAAATCATAAAAGTTCTGATCAGTCCACTTTGATTGATCTAATTCTAACAAATGTTCCTCACAAATTCTCATCCTTGGGAGTCTTCTGCAATGATTTGAGTGATCATTGTGTTGTTGCTACTTGCAGGGACACTAAAATCCCCAAATGTAAACCACGCATTATTTTAAAGAGGAATTTAAAAAAATGTAATGAACAAGCTTATCATCATAATTTGTCTTTGGTTAATTGGGGGCATATAGGTCTGTTGCCGGATGTTGAGCTAACTTGGACATTTTTTAAGGAAAATTTTGTGAAAATTGTGAATAAACATGCTCCTATCAGGAAATTCAGGGTGAAGGGACGAGAAAACCCCTGGTTTTCCCCAGAGTTGTCACATACCATCCATCAACGTAATGTGGCATGGACCAAAGCCAGAAAAAGTGATTTTGCCTCTGACTGGTCTATTTTCAGGCAACTAAGGAACAAATGCACTTCTCTTATCAAAAAGGCTAAATCAGAATATTACTTATCTGTCACAACTGAGAACCTCAATAATCCACAGAAATTTTGGAAAGTGATCAAGTCTTTATCTGTAATTAAAAGTCCTCAGGCTCTTCTGACATTTGTTCTGAAAGACTCGGTCCCAGTCTATGATAGAACTGAGGTCCTAAATTGCTTTAACAAGCATTTTGTATCATCTGGTTCTTTGTTTGACTCTACAGGAGCTGCCCCTGTGACTCCCTGCATAGACCCCCCAGGGTTTTCAGGAGAACCCTTTAATTTTGTACCTTTTACTGTGCAGCAAGTGCATAAAGCCCTCAAAACGTTAGATCACAGAAAACCCCCTGGACCTGACATGATAGAGCCCTACTTTTTGAAAATAGCAGCTGATTTTGTAGCACAGCCTCTAACAATCCTTTTTAATCTCTCAATCGAAAACAAAGAAATTCCATCCCTCTGGAAGTCAGCTTTTGTTACCCCCTTATTAAAAGGAGGTGATCCAGCAGCTTTAACTAACTACAGGCCAATATCAAATTTGTGTGTCTTGTCAAAAATTCTTGAATCTCTTGTGTGTGATCAACTAAAAGAATTTCTAACCTCAAATGATCTCTCAAAACTGCAATCAGGCTTCAGGTAAAAGCACAGTACCATCACTGTGGCTACAAAAGTAATCAATGATATACTTGTTGCTTTTGATAAAAAGCAGTATTGTGCTTCACTTTTTATTGATTTGTCAAAAGCTTTTGACACTTTGGACCATGCTGTTTTAAAGCATAGGCTTCTTTGTTTGGGTTTGTCAGATTATGTAGTTTCCTGGTTCACAAATTATTTGAGTGACAGGACTCAGTGTATTAAATATGATGGTCTGTGTTCTAAATTTGTGAGTGTCCACAAGGGGGTGCCACAGGGTTCAATATTAGGACCCCTTCTGTTCATTATGTACATTCATGATTTGGGAAATTTTTTTGTAGATGCTAACATGCATTTTTATGCCGATGACACAATTATTTACTGTTTTGGATCAACTCCTGCCAAAGCTGTTGAATCTCTGCAGAAAGCTTTTGATGTGGTCCAGCACACACTCCTGCAGCTAAAACTAGTCCTCAACACTGACAAGACTAAACTAATGTTGTTCTCAAACACTAAGAAAGTACCTCAAACTGTCCCCACAGTGTCCACTTTTGTAGGAAATGTCATAGAGGTGGTTCATATGTACAAATACCTTGGTGTCTTGCTTGATGACTCCCTCACCTTCAAGCCCCATATTGACAATCTTGTGAAGAAACTGAAACTTAAATTGGGTTTCTTGTTCCAAAACAAATTTTATTTCTCTTTTGAAGTGAAAAAGCAGCAATTTTAGATTATGGAGACCTGATGTATATGAATGCCTCAGCTAAATGTCTAAGTAAGATTGACGCTGTTTATCATGCTTCTCTGAGGTTTAAGATTAAGATTTACTTTTACTGATCCCCGCAAGGGAAAATTTCTGTTTTTACACTCTGTAAGTCATGCAACACACACATAGGCTGAAATATACATGCACAAACAGGATCCTATGGACATGCACTAATGGAGAGATGTCAGAGTGATGGGGCTGCCCACAGTGGGTGCTCCTGAGCTGGTGGTGGGGAGGGGGTTTGGTGCCTTGCTCAGGGGCACTTCAGCAGTGCTCAGGAGGTGATCTGGCACCTCTCCAGCTACCAGACCAACTTCCATATTTGGTCCGCACAAGGCCATGCTTGGGCTACTGCCCTCCTACATCTGTAACCTAATCACACAGAGAAGTGTTGATTCTTACGGTTTGCGTTCAAATGATCAGTTGTTGCTGTCTGTTCCATTTGCACGCATAGAACTGGGAAAAAGGGGCTTTCATCAACTCTGCTCCTTCTACATGGAACATGCTGCAAAAAGACTGGAAAACAACTGAACTGATTTCTTTGAATGCTTTTAAATCCAGGCTGAGAGCAGTTTTTTATAATTTAAATTGCTGTCTGTATGTTGTGAGTGTAACCTTTGCTGGCTCTTGGCCAGGACTCCCTTGAAAAAGAGGTTCAGCATATCCAACAAAAATGTTTGTCCGAACAAACATCCTGTACCGGGGAAGAGCACTGTAACCACCTCCAAAACCTTTCACAGACACATAAACCCCTAAAGCAGCTGTTTCAGGAAGATCTACAGCACCCTCTACCACTAGAGACTGCCCTGAGGCGGTGTCCCTGAGGACATATCTGCTTTATCAACAGTTTCTGCCTGATCTCCAATTGAGATTAAACTCATTAAGTTGCACGCAACAGAACGACTGGCTTCTGCTCTGGAGGGCCCCATCAGTTTCCATAGTTTAGTTTTACCCAGTTTAGCCAACCGCGAACATGTCACATCATTTTCCAAGAAGTCCTCTGGTTTAAACTCGGCCATGTTCACCCAAAAATTAGAACACAGTAAAGGCGTAATAGGAGAAGGAACAAATCACGACACAAATGCAGTCTATTGACCTGCACAAAACCTTCAAGCTACTTACATGCCCATACAATGCCCAATACAAACCTATAATCAGCCGGACGCCGGCAAACAAGTCACCACAGAGAGTCGCTAACCATACTGGCCTCCACATCACAGCCAACACAAACGTTAGCTTACTCGTTACAATGGTTACCGTAACAGCCCCGACTTAACGTACACTTCTGCGACTACCCAACGAGACACACACACCAAATCGTATGAAAACACCTTGCAAACAACACAGGCTATGCTTCAGAGAGAGAGAGAGAGAGAGAGAGAGAGAGAGAGAGAGAGAGAGGTGTCAGGCCACAGCACAGTTTTCACTCGTTAAGGTTCATCACAGACAAAACCTGCTCACATGAATATATGTGTCTGTGATGGAAACACTGTCATCTTTAGGTATTTTAGTGCCAGGCATTATAAAATGTTTCCAGACGTGCGCTTCAGTCTGATCAACTCAGTGTTGAGTTCCAGTTTTTCAACTGAGTAAAATCAGTTAAACGACTTTTAATATGAGTGTGGCAGTCAGTTCTTCTATGTGTCCATACTATCGTGATCTAACTCTGTTACTGACTTTTTACACGCCATGAATCTGTGCCATCTCCGTGTGTTATTCAAGGAAGCATTTTAGCGCTGCTCTGCGGCTAAACCAGCGGACCGCTATATGACCGGACAGCCTGTGTTATATCGTTTTCGGAAAAGAAGGACATTTTCATTATTAATTACATATTACAGTCTGATGAGAGCTGGTGATAAATGCGCAACAGCAGGCTACTGTATTTAGAAGGGATGAAACTGAAAAGTGATCAGCACAACACTTTCCTAAAAATTAACCATCTGTAAATAAAATCAGATTTAAATCTTAAATGACTGATTTTACCATAATCAGAGTTTAAATACAGTAAGTCGGGAGATGCATTAGGCTATACGCCTGTGTACGCAA